GGGAGGGGGTGGGGGGGGGGGGGGGGGGGGGGGGGGGGGGGGGGGGAGATAAAATGATAGACGGGATGGACGGATGTGTGTGCTCACAAAGTGGTTTTCCAGTGTAACTGAACGGACTGAGGCACATACAATATCATCGGTCAAGGTCAATAACCTAAGTACACAATCTTCTCTGGGGGAAGAAATGCCCAGCAAAGAATGAAATCAAACGTTGAAACACACCCCAGTCACAGAGTTCATGAACACGTCCGACAGATCAGGCAATTGGCAGCTGACATCGGATTGTCACTCCGGCGCAATGGTCTAATACAGCTTAGCCATTAGCCTCCAAATCGCTATGCCCCGCATGCCAATGTCATCGTATCCCAAGATGAGAAATTGATTTCATGCTTGGGTGACTGTCATCAGGAAAGACAGGGAGAAAGCAAGAGAAAGAAACAAGAAGGAGAAAAACTGAGAGAAAAGGCAACTGAGTGATGGAAGAAAATATAGAAATCCCGCGTTCACACTCATTCGGCCTCGGACAATAGACGGCGGAACTAATGGCAAGCAGAGAGCAGAAGCACAAACAACAGGGAATGGATTGAGTTTATGAAGTTCAAAAGAACATGCAACATGTTTGCGTGTGAGTGGGGTCCGACACTGAACAACAACAGCTTTAGAAAACTGCTGGCTCCACAGAGGCCCATACAGGAGAGCATATTATAGACGGGGATGTGGTGGAGTCTGGCCGCACAATAGTGCCCCATTGCCTCATGGGATGTGGAGAGCTCTCTGGAACATGAGAGGGGAGGGCCTTCTGGTGTGTGCATTTAACATGATGCTCATCAATGACAGTTTTCCATTACTGTACCGCTGCTGCGAGTGAGAGGGGAGTGAAAAGGAAGAAGCGAATCAGACTGGTATTACACTCAAGTGATGATGTAATGTTTAGGTGACACAAACAGCACCCCCATCCCCCTCTTTTCTCTCTCTTTTTTTTCTGCTCGCTTCCTGTGTTCACCCCCCTTGTTCTCTGGGGCACAGAGTGGAGCCTTCTGATTGGTTAATAGCACCATAGAGATGCTGAGAATATCCACCAACCAGGGCCCGGGTGCCCCTTCACACCGTTACCACAGCAACCCCTCACAACCATCGCGAGCGTGCATGTATGGATGTGCACACGTATTGTTGAGTGTGTATGTGTGCACTGTATGGTGTATAGTTCCCACTCATGTGTTTTTTTTTTGTGTGTGTGTGTGTGTGTGTGTGTGTGTGTGTGTGTGTGTGTGTGTGTGTGTGTGTGTGTGTGATGGCTACATGAACATGTACCAACAGCCCTCCAATGAACAGCCTGCAGTGAGTTCATCTACTGTAACAACAGTATAGTGCAGCTCATATAGTAACAAACCAAACTTACTCAGCTGCTTCAACAACAGCTGAAAAGTCAGAAAAACTGCCAGTCTTGTGGACATATTTCACTTCACTTTTATAACTATGAAAATGGGATTGAATGATTTGTTAAGATAGACATTTGAATGAAATGTGTAAAAATAGTCGAAAAATAAACAGGAAGTCTCTGAAAAGGTGACACAGAAAATGCTCAAAAGATCTATCGTATAGACAGGAATAATAGGAAATACATCTGTAGAAATACATTTCTCACACAGATTTATCTGAATATGGAATACGACAAGATACATTAGAAATGGTGCCTCTTGAGGTAACGTATTGCAATTATTTTCCATTGTCAGTGACAATTCGATCAAAATAAAAGATTCAAGCTTTAGAATTCCAAATTTTAAGCCTGCTTGTTATTGAAGTTTAGTAAATAAATCGTAAATATAGATCTGGACTATTTTTAGTAGTGGTCCAGTCGTATACTGATGCCTTTCTCACAACATACTTATTTATCGTAAATCAGAGAACTAGAATGCTTCGGCCCTATTAAACTAAGCCAGTGTGAGATAATGTCAACATAAGGTGGTGAACAAAGTGGGGAGATATTTGTGTCAGGTGTTAATTATGCCAGACTATGCAGAAATGATAGATTAGATGATAATCTATCTGCTTGTTTGTTTTAAATTCATCTGCAAATGACTGAACGTAACCATGCCTGGCTTTACTGCTTTAGAAATGTTATTAACATACAACTGAGTACACTTGCTGCAGGCTGTACAGCAGCATGACAAAATACAATTCCTCGGTTCTTTGATTTCAAATTTGCACATGCACAAAATACTTGACTGTCATAAACCCCCTCAGAGAAGTGGTTTTTGCAATCTTGCTGAGCCAAAGAAAAAGAATCACCCTATTTATCTGATCAACAGTTTCCTAAATGTCAGTTTCAGTCATGCCAACTGCTTGCAGCATCAAAATGTTTTGTCTGCACAGTCGACAACATGTGAAAAAAAATAGGGATTTTAAAAAGTATTTCTCCTATATTACCTACATTCTTAAAGCAATAATTTGAATAATTCTTGGCTGGGCGTGTATTTTCCAAAATATCAAACTATTAATTTAAACAAGTGTTCCTATAAAGGAAATCCTTTCCAAGTTGGCAGCGCAATAATAGCTTCCTTAGCAGGAGCCTAAGTCCCCTGCAAGGCACCTCCGACCTGATCCAATTCCCACCATGGGCTACTACTACTACTCGCACTCAGCATGCCCACCAGGAGATGGATGAGGAGTGAGTGTATATGTGTCAATGTGTGTGTGTGGGTGTGTGTGTATGGAAAGTAAGAATGTGACACAAGATAGATGTATTCTAGTGTACTACCAGTATCTGAGTCCCCTCTTATTTAACTTTGACAACATTTATGACCAGTACCACCCACGCCTGGAGACTTTGTAAGACAACAAAGGTTTCTGTGATCACTACAGCTGTTTGTCTACTCTACCACATGCTGTGTTGTGTTGTTTTGGATCAGGTTCCCATGTCTTACCGGTGCAGGTGAAACACTTCACGTGGAAGTGGGTTTCTTGTACTCGTACCACCTCTCCTTTGCATACCTCCCGACATCGCTGGCAGCGGATTAGTCCAGAACTTCGTTCACTTGCCGCAGAGCCTTGGTGATAAGCTGCAGAAGGCAAAAAAACACACATTTATTATTCTATTTATGTGTTTGACATAAATTATTTTGCAAGATGAATTGACTTGTTGGCCAAGCCGCCCATAGTGCTACGCCTGTCAAGCTTTCTCCTATTGCAAAGCACAGTTCACAATGATAATGGTGGTAAATTACCGCATGAAATCCGAAAGTCATTTTCAAAGCAACAGGCTCTTTCTGACCGTGGTAGACAAAAGCAAGCTTGCCATTTCTAACCAGCAACAGTCAAATTTGCCAACTGTCGGTGGAAGACTTTATCAACATAAAAGCTAGCTAGCTTAGCTAATAAAGCTAACATTACCTTCATGAGGTGAATATGAAAGAGCTTTCTAAAGATAACACCTGTCCCTGTCAAAATGTCAGCACCCGAACTGCAAAGAAGCAGTATTGTTCTTGTATTTAAGTATGATAAGAGAACATGTAACATCTGTCTGTATATTTCATGGCTTTTAGTATGAGGACTAACCAAGTTTGTTTGAGTAAATCTATTTCGAATAGTTTCGCTGGGATTGCTTGTGCGCTAATCCAATAATTCAAGATACAGCTGATTTACTAGGCTAATGCTGGGTTACTACTGTAGGTAGTAGGCTTGTTAGCTGGACATGCTAACGTTTGCAGCTTCGTTAGAGCAGACAAACACTCTTATCCATTCCTTACACGTTTGCTCTTGTATTTTTGGGGTTTGTATAAAGTTTACAAAAAAAAGACGTCAAAAAACCCACTATCCAAACTCTATACATGGAGTATTGCTTACTAGAGCCCCATGTACACCGCTTCAACATGCAGAGAAATACAAGGCTTGCCGTGTCTCATTACCGTTGCTAAGCTATGATTGGACAGAAATAGTTTCATCTCACAGTTACTGGTCTAGAATGGAAATATAATTGGTTTTTCATGTAGCCTGAAACCAATGTAGCTTATTGCCACTAATGAAATTAGACAATGGCATTGTCAATCACATAGAAAACAATAATCAACATTTTGGTGTCTGCAGCCACAACAAATGTACACTTTAATTAATAAAACAACATAGTAATAATTCAAAATCATAATGGATTTTTTCAACAAAGGTTTCTTCACCACAATGCTGCAAGCCGTGAACTCTCTGAACTAGGCTCTGATTATCCTACACTACAGACTGTACTGTGGGCATTTCACATAATAAGATCAGCGTGTAGCTCTGTCAACACTTGTTCTGAAGAAGTGAGGTCTGACACCTATGTAAGCTGGGTAAGCTCCAGGCTTTCTCTCCCACTGTCTCTATTTCTCTCACACTCATACGGGCTGACACACACATGCACACACAAACATGTACATACACACACACACACACACACACGCACTGCTGCGTTAGAAAGTGGATGGATCTCCTTAACTCATTATGCATTAGCTTACATGTCAGACTCCTGCCAGCCCGACAGCTATTTCACATTGTCAGGAAAGCAAGTTCTCACATACAGCCATAACAGTAATGGAATAAATGCTCTCGCAAGCAAAAAGGTCAAAATGATAGATTAATTTCAACTTAAATGAGTGAGGAAAATTAATTTATCTAAGAACATTTAAGCTATTAGAGGCTCTTTAAAGGTCCATCCTCTTCTCTGGGCTATACAAACATCCACAAGCAGAGACAACCAGCCTCCCAATACCAAGAAAGACTGTGCCAGAACAGCTGGGTTCACAGTCTCTTATTCTGCTCCATCTTCCTGAAGGAGCATTTGAGTGGTCCTATTCTCCGTGTGAGGGGTATAATGGCAGGGTAACCAGCTGGCCTTAATGTCTACCTGAGCAGCTGACTGAAGGACTTTGCCGCTTCAGTCAGAGCAGCATCAGCATATGGGCTGGCGTGACAGAACTGTCTGATTCCATTTCACTGGATATATCCCGAAAGACTCGCAGCACTTAAAAAGTCGAACAGCCTTGCACGCTTCATAGCCTGAGCACCCTTCGCACGCTCCAAGTTCGACGGCGGTATATGCATAGTGTGGGCTACAGTACGTGTGAGGAGGTGCAGACATCCATATGGGTGCAAGACAGAATGAAGGCATGCAGTTTATTTTCCTGTGTGGGCACTGGAAATATGCAATCATGATTAATTCCCACTCCCGATCTCCCACACTCAAGTCTCTGTTAGTTCATTGTTTCCCTCACAATGCTGGCAGCACCACTGGGACCCACTACCCTGCCTGATAAGTGTCCAATGTGTGTGTGTGTGTGTGTGTGTGAGAGAGAGACCAGGCACAAAACCAAATGAGCAACACTGATCCCATCAGGTGTGAATGAGAGACAATGGGAACTAATGGCGGTACATGTAAGCCTGTGCCAACAGCTACTGGAAACACACAGGACATTCATTTGCAATGCTGACCTTCTGAAACAAGGCCAGAACAAACCTCTGGCAGAGTATAACCTCCTCTGTTTTCGCAGCCCAGCCCGGTCAGGCAAAGCTGTATAAAAGACACAACATACTGTAAAAACTGAGCAAGATGCTGAATGAAGATTAACAACACATGCCTAAATTAAACAGGCAGAGGCGCGGCAAATTCCTGCAAATTATCAACAAGTATGTTTTAATGAATGAGATGCTTATTGAGCTAGTTGAACGTGCATGCCAAAAAAAACAGCCCCACCCACGCCGAGAATCCAGGCACACAAAAAGCTCAGGAGCCGACGCGTTTCGTAACTCTATCTAATTGTGTCATTGCGTTCATTCTCATTGAACACAGCCATCCTCTCCCTGTCTTAACCCATTACAGAGCTCTCAAACAACCCTTCATCCTCTCCCATGCTGAGGTGTTGAGTCATTCTTCTGATGATAGCCACAGGACTACAGGTGTAATCCACTGACTCCAAATCAGTGGCGAGCGCCCCGGGAGAAAACAGCCTATACGGCAGACAGGTGATGAGAACAGGGCCAGGGTCAGGGAGGCCGACAGCATCCCCGGGGACGGAGAGGCTGCTGCTATTTTCTGCCCCTGACCTGACAGCCCCGGGGGAAGCACACGCTGGGAGCTCAGTCACAAGGGATGCTGGGAGATCAGTGGTGACGAGTGAGTGGAGTGAAGAGCGTGGCGAAGAATCAAAGAGGAGCAATACAAAGACGATGTGGATTCAAGATGAATTATTAAAGCAGAAATGTGTTGTTTTGCTGTTTATAGCTTACTTTGTAGTTAGTAACATACCCATGTTTGTCAGTTGTATCAGCGAATCAGGGGCAACAATAACTAGTGTAAACAGACCGGACAGGTTTAAAACACATCTTAGTCAACCACACATATGTTAATGAGTGATATACCTACCTGTAGCTTAAATGTTCATGAGCTAATGTGAACAATCTAAAGTGTAGTAATTCAGCTGCAAAGGCTGTATATTGATATGACTATTACAAAGATGTGACTTTTTGCGAGGACAGTAAACTGAATATCTCCAAATGTTGGTTTGAAAAAAAAAAAAAAAAAAGGCATTTGAAGATGTCACATTTGGGGCAATTTGTAATTGTGAGGAATTTGGTGATTGTATTTTTTCTGAGATTTTATATCCCAAGCGATTAATCGATAATGAAAATTATCGTTGGTTGCAGTCCAAGCTTACTACACTCTTGTAGCAAGTTGTGTTCTACTCAGTTTAGTAATAGCTCAGTGGTTCTTTGTAAGCGTACTGAACAAACCTTCACAAGTTGTAGTTGGTTCAAGGTGTGTCTAGCTAAGACACCAATACGTTCTTTGTATTTTAGGGAAACATAATCAGCAGTTTATACTTAATATTGTCAGGACAAAGCAAAACCACGCCTTCCCTGTTTGCAATCGAATGCAGCCAATGATCAGGTGTCTCAACGACACCCACCATCCACTGTCTTTATCACCCTTCGTCTCTGTCAGGACCTTGGCGGGGGGAGCATTCATCAGAGCAACGATGGCGTCCAGTGGTATCGCAAACACACGGTCACTCCATGGAGAGAGAGAGAGAGAGAGAGAGAGAGAGAGAGAGAGAGAGAGAG